ATTGAGAAGGAGTTTGGCAAATTGGGTCTGGCAGTAAACGGCGAGAAGACCAAGCTGATGGTATCAACGCGCAAGACGTCCAGTAAACTCGCACCAACTGTGGAACTTGAAAACAACAGCTTCGAGGTAGTCAACGATTTTATATACCTTGGTTCCGCCATAAATAAAACGAATGACATCAGTTTTGAAATTCGGAGAAGGATAATGTTGGCCAACAGATGCTACTATGGTCTGAGTAAGCAACTTATAAGCAGGGCCATCTCTCACGCCAGACCAAACTCACACTGTACAAGACGCTGATACTACTCGTGCTGTTATACGGATCTGAAGCATGGGTACTTACGCAAGCAGATGAGGCAGCTCTTGAAGTATTTGAGAGAAAAATTCTCCGAAAGATCTATGGGCCGATCTGCATTGACGGTGAATATCGGCGTCGAATGAACCATGAGTTGTATTGAGCTGCAGCGACTACGTTGGCTAGGTCATGTTGTGAGAATGGATGAAGATGTCCCAGCCCAGAAGGCATATAAAAGCGAACCAGCTGATGATTCACGCAGAATGGGAAGGCCAAGAATACGTTTGAAAAATCAAGTCGAAGACAACATCACCGAAAATGGTCTTTCAAATTGGAAAAACTGGGCAAAAGACCGATGCGCCTGGAAATCTTTTCTAAGCTCGGTTTATGGAACGAAAGTTCTGTCACAAGCCAGCTAAAACAAAAAAACATATGTTTGTAACAGGCAAAAGGAAACGAAAAGGAACCATGGGCCTAGGTTCCTTTGAGAATATGCATAGAATCACTCTCTGAGTCGATTTATGCATGTCCGTCCGTCTGTCGCTGTTAAATTGTAAACAATGTGCAGGTCGCATTTATAACCCGAATTGGATGAAATTTGGCATGGGTCACTTATTTGGTCCAAGGACGAACCCTATTGAAATTGCGAAAAATCGATTCAGATTTAGATATAGCTTCCATATATATTTTCGTCCGATTTAATGTAAATGGTGTACCAAGTTTCCCGAAAATCGGTTCAGATTTAGATATAGCTCCCATATATATTCTCGTCCAATTTGAGGTAAATGGCGTACCAAAGTCCCTAAATATCTTTCGATTAGCACAAAATTTGGCACATCGTATTAAATTGAGTCTAAAATGATGTGTGCTAAGTTTCGTAGAAATCGGTTCAGATTTAGATATAGCTCCCATATATAGTTTCGTCCGATTTAGGGTAAATGGCCCACAAAAGTCCCTATATATCTTTCGATTTGAACGAAACTTGACATAGCGTAACGAATTAGGTCTAAAATGATGTGTGTTAAGTTTCCTGAAATTCGGTCCCGATTTAGATATAGCTCCCATATATATTTTTGTCCGATTTAAGGTAAATTGTGTACCAAAGTCCCTATATATCTTTCGATTTGCACGAAATTTGGTACAGCGTACGGACATAAGCCTAGAATGATGTGTGCTTAGTTTTGTGAAAATCGGTTCAGATTTAGATATAGCTCCCATATATATTTTTGTCCGATTTAAGGTCAATGGTGCAACAAAGTCCCTATATATCCTTCGATTTGCACGAAATTTGGCATAGCGTAATGAATTAAGTCTAGAATGATGTGTGCTAAGTTTCGTGAAAATCGGCCAAAATTTAGATATAGCTCCCATATATATTTTCGTCCGATTTAAGATAAATGGTGCGCCAAAGTCCCTAAATGTCTTTTGATTTTCACGAAATTTGGTATAGTGTACTGAATTGGGTCTAGAATGATGTGTGCTAAGTTTCGTGAAAATGGCTTCAGATTTAGATATAGCTCCCATATATAGTTTCGTCCGATTTTATGTAAATGTTGTACCAATGTCCCTTTATATCTTTCGATTTGCACGAAATTTGGCACAGCGTACTGAATTATGTCTAGAACTAAGTTCCGATAAAATCGGTCCAGATTTAGATATAGCTCCCAAATACATTTTCGTCCGATTTTATATAAATAGTGCACCAAAGTCCCTATATATTCTGCGATTTGCATGAAATTTGGTACAGCGTACTGACTTAAGTCTAGAATGATGTGTGTCAAGTTTCCTGGAAATCGGTCCAGATTTAGATATAGCTCCCATATATAGTTTCGTCCGATTTAAGGTAAATGGTGCACCAAAGTCTCTATATATCCTTCGATTTGCACGAAATTTGGCACAGCGTACTGAATTGAGCCTAGAATTATGTGTGTTGAGTTTCCTGAAAATCGGTTCAGATTTAGATATAGCTCCCAAATACATTTTCGTCCGATTTAATGCAAATGGTGTTCCAAAGTCCCTATATATCCTTCGATTTGCACGAAATTTGGCGCAGCGTACTGACTTAAGTCTAGAATGATGTGTGTCAAGTTTCCTGGAAATCGGTCCAGATTTAGATATAGCTCCCATATATATTATCGTCCGATTTTATGTAAATTGTGCACTAAAGTCCCAAATTGTGTCCCTATACATTTCTGTGTCTAATATAATGTTTATTAGGCACCTAATGGGTTAAGTACTACCTCAATGTCTTCATTCCCAGACCATATCGAAGTCATGTAAATTTTTTTCTTGTTGCAGTTTTTGTTATCTTCAAACCTTATTTATGCATGGAATGCTTACTGCATATTAATCAGGACGATTCTTGGCAATGAACTTGAAATCATTTTTTTCTATACAAAAAAAATTAAAATAATGAATTCAAAAATCGGTTGGGGGAGGATTAAGCAATTTAATTTTAAATGTCGGTAAATGAAGTTAATTTAATTTTTTTTGTTTTAAATCCTCGACCCTTGGGTGGACCTCTGAGAAGTACTTTTAAAATATCCACGCCTTTGGCTGGACCTCTAAGAAGTACTTAACAAAAAATACACGCCTTTTGGTGGACCTCTAAGAAGTACTTTTAAAAAATCCACTTACTTTTAAAAAATCTACGCCTTTATGTGGACCTCTAAGAAGTACTTTTAGAAAATCCACGCCTTTGGGTGGACCTCTAAGAAGTACTTTTAAAAAATCGACGCCTTTGGGTGCACCTCTAAGAAGTACTTTATATGATACCCTTCACCACTTTGGGTATATTCTACAAAGTCACCTAAAAGACTTTTCGGAAGAACATTGACATGAAGTTGCACGAAAGATATATAAGAACTTTGGTGCACCATTTACTTTAAATCGGACGAAAATATATAGAAGCTATATCTAAATCTGAACCGATTTTCACGAAACTTAGTACATATTATTATAGTCTCAATTTAGTACGCTATGCAAAATTTCGTGCAAATCGAACGGGACTTTGTTGCACCATTGTCCTTAAATCGGACAAAAATATATATGGGAGCTATATCTAAATCTGAACCGATTTTCTCGAAACTCACCACACATCATTCTAGGCTTATGTCAGTACGCTGTACCAAATTTCGTTCAAATCGAAAGATATATAGGCTCTTTGGTGCACCAATTACTTTAAATCGGATGAATATATATATATATATATGGGAGCTATATCTAAATATCAACCGATTTTGACGAAACTTTGCACACATCATTCTAGACTTAATACAGTACGCTGCACCAAATTTCGTGCAAATCGAAAGATATTTAGGGACTTTGGTGCACCATTTACTTTAAATCGGACGAAAATATATATGGGAGCTATATCGAAATCTGAACCGATTTTCTCGAAACTCACCACACATCATTCTAGGCTTAGTTCAGTACGCTATGCCAAATTTCGCGCAAATCGAAAGATATATAGGGTCTTCGGTGCACCATTTACCTTAAATCGAACAAAACTATAAATATGAGCCGAATTTCTCAAATTTCAACAGGGTTCGTCCTTTTGACAAATATAGACCCTTTAGAAAATATTTTTTTTAAAAAATCCACTCCTCTTAAACACCCTTTAGAAAATATTTTTTAAAAAATCCACGCCTCTTATAGACCCTTTAGAAAATATTTTTTTTAAAAAATCCAAGCCTCTTATAGACTCTTTAGAAAATATTTTTTAAAAAATCCACTCCTCTTATAGACCCTTTAGAAAATATTTTTTTAAAAAATTCACGCCTCTTAAAGACCCTTTAGGAAATATATTTTTTTAAATTCAAGCCTCTTATAGACCCAATAGAAAATATGGATTTTTTTAATCCACGCCTCTTATAGACCCTTTAGAATTTTTTTAATAATCCACGCCTTTAAGAAATATTTCTAGACCCTCTAAAATTTATTCTTCCATTATTTTTTATTAATTCTCTCCTTATTTTGTCTTTTCTCTTTGCAGTTGAAACCAACTCCCATTCTCTGGAGTCTTTACGAATTTAACAGTAATTGAGCGATTAGCTGAGAGAAAGAGAACACATTTTGTATCTGAACCACTTGGCATAGAGAAACCAAAACCCCCACAATTTTCAAAACAAAATCCCATTTTGGTAAAAAATAAAAATTTATAAAAATTATCACAATAATTTTTTAACAAAGAATAAATAATAATAAAATCAAACTAAGAAGAAAGGAATAATAAAAGAAGATAAAGAAAAACAAAAACAAACCCACAAAGAAAACCCAAACAGAAAACGGCAAAACACGAAGAACCAGAGATTTTGTTTTATTAAAAGAGTAACAAAAAAAATCAACCCCTTCAAGAAAAGAGAGAGAGAAAGGAGAACAAGAGTAACAGAAATTCAAGAGAGTGAACATAAGATAAGTGATCACAAAAGAGAGAGTAATTAATACTGAAATTCAACGAATCCTCTCTCACCAACTATGAATTTGAGTAGTTATCACTGAGACTCTCCCTAAAAAGGGGAGAGTTTGAGAGATTATCACAACAACAACAACAAAAAACCGAAGAGAAAACGAAACCCATAAGCGAGAGAGAGAATTAAAACAAGAGGTTTAGCCTAGACCTAAACCCAAGCCCAACAACTGATAAATCAAAAAACACCCACCCACAAAGAAAAAATACCAGGAAGAAGAAGCAGCAGCCCACAAAATGGCAATCAACTTCTCAGCCTCGTTTGCGGCCTGCATAGCCGCCGGCCTCAAAGTGCCACGTCAAATAATGTATTGCATCACACAGGACACCGGTCAGCCCTATGTCCTCTATAAAGATTCCCAGGAAGCTGAAAGAAATGCCGCCGCAATTGGTGGTACCCCAGGACAATGGGGCACCGAAATGTATCCTGGCATACAACAACAACACTTGAGTGCACAACAACAAAATGCCATTACGGCAAATGGCCAGGCGGGAGCCTCAAATGGTCCAACATCACATTCACCCAATGGTGGTGGTGATCCACATGGTCGTGAAAATGGTGGTGCGGATGGTGGTGGTGGTGCGGGTGGAACTGGTAGACAACAGGGTTCACCCTCGACCAGTCCATACCCGCCACAACAGCAACAGCAGCAGCAACAACAACAGCAGAGAACAAACGGTACCAATGATGATGATGTGAATATGAATCAGGTGAGTAAGGAAGTTGTAGATACCGTAGATAATGAGGTAGATAAATTATCTAAAAAAATTATTTAGTTATCTAAAGAGTTGAAATAACTTTAAATTCGTTCTATGTGGTCCGGAGAACATATTCGTACATTTTAATAATAAAAAATTATCTAGCAGATAATTCAGATAATTTATCTATGCAATTTTCCTGCACTAAAACGGCTTCTAAGAGTTTGGAATAACGTCTATAACTTATCTACACACCTAAAAATTGATTTTTTAGGTTTAGATAACGTAGATAATTTATCTAGATAATTCAAAGATGTATTAAAATCCGTTAAAAAAATGAAATAATTTATCTACATCATAAAAATAAACTAAAAATCATTTTATAGGGTTTAGATAAATTATCTAAGCTATAGAGATTTATCTGTAAGCACCGGAAAGTGTAGATAATTTCTCTATATAACTTTTTAGCACTCTAAGAGCTTCGTACGGCGAGAATAATTTGTATGTATGCCTATAAATGCTTCTTTGAAATTTAGATAAGATAGATAATTTATCTAGATAATTCATAGAAAACTGCAAATCGATAAAAAGTGTCGAATAACATAATAAGAAGTTCGTAAGGCGAACATAATTTATTTGTACGCCTAAAAATAGCTCTTTGAGGTTTAGATAACGTAGATAATTTATCGAGATAATTAAAAGAAGGTTAAAAACGCTTCAAGAAGGGCGGGTTATTTATCTACAGAATTTTATTTAATTAAAAAATCATTTTATGAGGTTTAGATAACTTATCTATGCATTCAAATTTATCTACAAGCTCAAAATTTAGATAATTTATCTATAAAATAGTTTAGTACTAAATGTGCTTCTAAGATGTCGGGATAACGTCTATAATGTATCTGCACGCCTAAAAATGTTTCCTTGAGGTTAAGATAACATAGATAATTTATCTAGATAATTCATAGAGAACTGAAAATCCATTAAAAGTGTCGAAGAACACAATTTTAATAATCTAAGAATCATGTAATGAGGTTTAGATAACTTATCTATGCATTCGAGATGTATCTACAAGGTCCGAAAAATTTAGATAATTTATCTATAACATATTTTAGTACTAAAAGTGATTCTAAGATGTCGGAATAACATCTATAATGTAGCTGCACACCTAAATATGTTTCCTTGGGGTTAAGATAACATAGATAATTTATCTAGAAAATTCATAGAGGGCTGAAAATCCATTAAAAGTGCCGAAGAACATAATTTTAATAATCTTAGAATCATTTTACGAGGGTTAGATAACTTATCTTTGCATTCGATATGTATCTACAAGCTCGGGAAAGTTTAGATAATTTATCTATAAAATATTTTAGTGCTAAATGTGCTTCTAAGATGTCGGCATAACGTCTATAATGTATCTGTACGCCTAAAAATGTTTCCTTGAGGTTAAGATAACATAGATAATTTATCTAGATAATTCATAGAGGACTGAAAATACATTAAAAGTGTCGAAGAACGCAATTTTTATAATCTAAGAATCATTTTATGAGGTTTAGATAACTTATCTATGCATTCGAAATGTATCTGCAAGGTCCGGAAAATTTAGATAATTTTAGATAATTTTTTTAGTACAAAAAGTGCTTCTAAGATGTCCGGGATAACGTCTAGAATGTATCTGCCCGGATAAAAAATGTTTCCTTGAGGTTAAGATAACATAGATAATTTATCTAGATAATTCATAAAGTGCTGAAAATCCATTACAATTGTTGAAGAACACAATTTTAATAATCTAAAAATCATTTTATGAGGCTTAGATAAGTTATCTATGCATTCGAAATGTATCTGCAGGGACCGGAAAATTATAATAATTTATCTACAAGATATTTTAGTACTAAAAGTGCTTCTAAGATGTCGGGATAACGTCTATAATGTATCTGCACGTCTAGAAATGTTTCCTTGAGCTAAAGATAGCATAGATAATTTATCTAGATAATTCATAGAGGGCTGAAAATCCGTTAAAAGCGTCGGAGAACACAATTTTAATAATCTAAGAATCATTTTATGAGATTTAGATAACTTATCTAACTGTTTGAAATTTATCTTTAAGGTTAGGGGAATTAAGATAATTTATCTATACAATGTTTTAGCACTAAAGCTGCTTTTAAAAAGTTAGAATAACGTCTATAATTTTTCTGCACGGCTCAAAACACTTCTGTATGTTTTAGATAAAATAGATAATTTATCTAGATAATTCCAAGAGGGCTGGATGTTCATTAAAAAATTTTGGATTATTTATCTACACAATTTAAATAAACTAAAAATAATTTTATGAGGCGTAGATAACTTATCTATGGATTTGAAAAGTATCTGCAGTGTCCGCAAAATTTAGATAATTTATCTAAACGTTTTTTAGTACTAAAACTGATTCGAAAAACTCGGGATAACGTGTATAAATTATCTATATACACAGAAATGCTTCTTTAAAACTTAGATAATGTAGATAATTTATCTAGATAAAATATCAAAATGTAAGAAAATATTTTTTTAGATTTTCTTAACAAAGATAATTTATCTACAAATGTAAATTAATACATTATTCAGATAAAATGGCATATTTTAATATTTTCTCTTTCTCTCTCCTCCCCTCTCACTATTTATCTTTCCAGGTCAATGGTCTGCAGCAACCAAATTCCAATCCACAATCAAATCCAAACCAAAGCTCAAATGATCCCCATCAGCAGCAGCAACAAAATGCCAATGCCGCCTCCTCATCCGACAATAACCCGGCGGGGAATAATCCGCACAATGTCCAGCAGAATGGCCAGGCCAATGATCATGGCAATAATGGTTTTCCTGGCTCCCAAAATGGTGAATTGTCCAGCTATTATGCCCCCCGACATCCTGGCGCCCAAGGTGGCCTTATGGCACCACCCGGTTTCCCACCGTTACATTATCTCAATAAACCTGTGCTGCCGGGTTTAAATGGCGCAATGGATCAGGGAGCAGGTAATGGACCCAATATGGATGCATATGCCTTGCCCGAGCTACTGCCGGGACAGAATGGCTCAGCCAATGGTCAGCAACAGAATGGTGGTGCTGGTGGCACCGGGGGACATCAAAATAATACAACCAGCAATGGCACCGGTACGGGAGGTGGTGGAGGCGGCGGCGGAGGAGGTGGTAGTGGTCGCAGCCATAAACCCCCCAAACCTCACAGTGATCTGCGACTCTTCAAATGCCTAACCTGTGGCAAAGATTTCAAACAGAAAAGTACCCTGCTGCAACATGATCGCATACACACCGATGCCCGGCCGTATCCCTGCTCCGAGTGTGGCAAACGTTTTCGCCAACAATCGCATCTGACCCAGCATCTGCGCATCCATGCCAATGAGAAGCCGTTCACGTGCGGCTACTGCAATCGAGGCTTTCGCCAGCGGGCAATACTCAATCAACATGTTCGCATCCATTCGGGTGAGAAGCCCTTTGCGTGTCCCGAGTGCGGCAAGCACTTTCGCCAGAAGGCCATCCTTAATCAACATGTGCGAACCCACCAAGGCGAGCGACAGTTCTTGAATACAAAAACAAAATCCAAAAAAAAAATGAGAAACAGAAAAAAATTAGTTGAGATCACCTGAGAGTTACAGTTTAGGGCAAAATGAAACCCCCCACTTTTCGGCCTCAAAAAATCAAAATTCGATTATTGTTTTGAAAAATTGGAAATCTTCAAAATTCTCAATCCGGAAAATTCTCTGTGTGTGAAGCACTTTGTTATCAAGGAATTGGCTGATTTTCCTCGAATAATGACTTTAAGGAGAGAGAGAGGGTAAAAAATAGACTCGTTCGCCTTGCATACTTTTAGGCTGCAAAAATTAAACATTAAAAAAAATAGAATCGGAATACTCTGGTAACCTCTCCGGCACATTTTTAGGCGGGAAATCATATTTAAAAAAAATTCTGTATCACCCAGTAGCTCCTTGGCAGCCTCTGGACCCTTCGCAGTGCATACTTTTAGGCTGAAAAAAAAATTAAAATTAAAAAATTTTCCGATTTTCTATTAGATGGTAACATCTGGCTCAGTCGCCTTGAAAATTTCTAGTCTGGAAAAAATCAAAATACTCCAAACCTGCAATTGGCCTCGTGACTGCTTCTGTACCCTTCGAAGGGCAACTTTTAGGCTGAGTTTACCTAATTGACCAAGGAGGTGTCCAGAGGTTATCTACATTATCATGGAGGTGGCCTGAGGTTATCTACTTGACAATGGAGGTTGCCAACGTGACAATGAGCTAACCTGAGGTTATCTACTTGACAATGGAGGTTGCCTACGTGACAATGAGCTAACCTGAGGTTATCTACTTGACCATGAAGGTGTCCAGAAGTTATCTACTTGAGCATGGAGGTGCCCTGAGATTATCTACTTGACAATAAACGTAGCCTGAGGTTATTTAATTGACAATGGAGGTGGCCTGAGGTTATCTACTTGACAATGAGGTGTCCAGAGGTTACCTACTTGAGCATG